TGTCAACTAGAGCAGGTTGCTCAGAACTGTGTCCAGTTGGGCTTTGGGTATCTCCAAGAATGGAGACTCCACAACCACTTGGGAAAACCTGTTTCAGTGTTTTATCACCCATAGAGTAAGAAAGTTTCTTCTTAGGTTTGAACAGAATTTCCTGTGTTTCAGTTTGTGCCTATTTCATCTTGTCCTTTTCCTGGGCACCACTGAGAATAGTCTGGCTCCATCTTCTTTACTTCTCCCATCAGGTATTGATGCACATTCATAAATGTACACCTGAGCCTTCTCTTGGCTAGGCTGAACAGTGCTAGCTTTCTCATCTGCTTCTCTTATGACGGATGCTCCAGTCTGGTAACTATCTTAGTCCTTTTCTGCACTCACTCTAGTATGTCCATGTCTCTCTCATACTGGGGAGCCCAGCACTGGACTCAGCACTGCAGATATGTCTCACCAGTGCTGAATAGAGAAGAACGATCACCTCCCTGGACCTGCTGGTGATGCTCTTCCTAATGCAGACAAGGATACTGGTGGCCATTTTTGTCACAAGGCCACAGTGCTGGCTCGTGTTTAACCTGCTGCCCACCAGGACCACCAGCTCCTTCTCTATAAACCTGCTTTCCAGCTGGTCAGCCCACAGCCTTTTCTGGTGCATGGGATTATTCCTCCCCAGGTACAGGATTTGGCATTGCCCCGTGCTGAACTTCTGGAGGTTCCTGTGGGCCATTTCTCTAGCCCAGGTCCCTCTGAATGATAGCACAGTCCTCTGATGATTCAGCCACTCCTCTCACACCTACAAGCTTGTGGAGAGGGCACTCTACCCATCATCCAGTTCAGTAATTAAGATGTTACACAATATTGTCCCTAGTAGTGACCCCTGGGGTAGACCACTATTGAGTGGCCTCCCTCTGGACTTCATGTCACTGATCAAAACACCACAGCCCCAGCAGTTCTGCCAGCTTTCAGTCCACCTCACTCTTCATTTATTTAGGCTGTACTTATCAGCTTGTCTGTGAGAATATTATGAGAGACTGCCAAAGGCCTTAGTGAAGTGAAGATAAACAACATCCAGAAGCAGATGAGAGAGAAGCTCCACTCATCCACCAAGCTAGTCACATCCTTGTAGAAGGCTAACAGGTTGGTCAGACATAATTCCCTCTTTGTAAATCCATGTTGACTACTCCCAATCACCTTCCTGTCCTTCAGATGTTTGGAAATGATTTCCAAGTTTATTTGCTCCATCACCTTCCCACCAGTGTGTGGTTCCGTGGTTTATATTTCTTGACATTCTTGAAGATGAGAGTGACATTTGCTTTCTTCAAGTTCTCAGAAATCTTCCCTGAACACCATGACCTTTCAAAGACAACTGAGAGAAGGTTTGCATTGACATCATTGAGCCTCCTCAGTACTCATGGGTACTCAGGTTCCATGGAGTTGTGCGTCTCCAGTTTGTTTAAACGTTCCCTAACCTGATCCTCCCTCAGCAAGAGTAAGTCTTTCTTGCCCCAAATTTTTCCACTGGTCTCCATTGAAGATCAAGACAAAGAAGGCATTGAGTACCTTGGCCTTTACCATGTCTTTTGTAACCAGGTTGCCTGCCTCGTTCAGTAGTGTGCCCATATTTCTCCTAATCTCTCTTTTTGCTGCTAATACAGCCATAGAAGCCCTTCTTATTGCCCTTCTCAGCACTTGCTGGATTGAATTGCAGGTGGACTTTGGTTTTCTTAACCGCACCCCTGCATGCTCATATAATTTCTCTATTTTCCTCCTTGATGACTTGCCCCTGATTGCATTTCAAGTACACTTCCTTTTTATGTATGAATTATATCAGGAACTCCTTGTTCATCCATGCAGGACTCCTGCTGCCTTTGCTTGATTTTCTGCTAGTTGGGATGAACTGTTTTTAAGTTTGGAGGAGGTGATCCTTGCACATCAACCAGCTCTCCTCGACCTTACTGCTTTCCAGGTCTGTGTCCCATGGGATTCTTCCAAGCAGGTCATTGAATAGGCCAAAGTGTCATTTCCTGAAGTCCAGGATCCTGCTTTTTTTCCTGCTCCCTCATTTCCAGATTCTGAACTCCACCATCTCATTATCAGGGGCAAGGCTGCCCCTGACCTTCAATTCCTGACCAATCCTTCCTTGTTTGTAAGTATGAGGTCCAGCAGAGCTCCTCTCCTTGTCAACTCCTTGATCATCCATGTTAGGAAGTGGTTGTTAACACACTCCAGAACCCTCCTGGATTACTTGTGCCCTGCTGTGTTGTCCCTCCAGCAGATATATCGTGCATCCGCCAGATATTGGGGTAAAGTCCTTTACTACTTTGAAGTAAAGTACTCCATGAGCACCTGGGCCCATGAATGTGAGGCTTCTTCCAGTTGTCTAAAGAAGGCTCATCTACTTTGTCCTGATCAGGCAGTCTATAGCAGACACCCACCACAACGTTGCCCATCTTGATTTGTCCTCTAATACTGACATACAAGCTCTCAGACGGCTCCTCATCTTCCCCTAGGAAGAGCTCCATGCATTCTTGCTGCTTTCTCTCATATAGAGCGTCTCCCCTTTCCGCCAGCCTATGTGTCCTTCCTAAAAAGTCTGTATCCATCCGTGGCAGCACTCCAGTCCTGTGAGCTATCTCTGTGATCCCAGTGAGATCATTGCTTTATGACTGCACTCAAACCTCAAACAGTCTGTTCCGCGTGCTGTGTGTGTTAGTGTACAGACACTTCAAGGAGCGCTAAGCATCCCAGAAAAGGGATGAGAGCTTTCCTCATGCTGTCCTATGGGTGCTTCCTTATTCATGTGCATGCTCTTGAAGTGGGCCCCATTTAGGTCTGTTATGTTGATTATGAGATTTCTCTTGTCCACATCACCCTGTTCACGTCACTTCTCTCACTGGTCCCTTACTTCCTCACTTGATTTTGTTCCTCATTTCCCTCCCTTGTTGCTCCTAATTTAAATCTCTTGTCACCAGTTGACTAGACTGTAGGCAAAAATGCTTTTGCCCTGATTATTCAGGTGGATCCCATCTCTTCCAAGAAGTCCTTGATTGTGAAAGACGCTCTCATGGTCATAAAAGGCAAATTCCCATTGCCAACACCAGATGCACAGCTGGTTCTTGATCTGCTGGATCTGTCCAGCCCTCCTCAAGCCATTTCTCATGTCCAGCAGGATTGAGAACACCAGCTGGGCTCCATGCACTTGACCATCACCCACTTTCAGGATCTTCCAGGATCAGAGTGAAACTTGTTATTATTGTGAATAGGATGGATAGCAGTTTTTCATGGATTTTCTCCTCATGGCAGAAAAAGCCATTTCTACTGCTCACTCCCCTTCTCTCTCATTTCATCCCCATGCAACAGATTAAATCAAGGTTGGAGTATGATACCGTGTGAAAGAAGGGCAGCATGGCCTTTGGCTGATACTATGCTTGTTGTGCTAGAAGAGAAACTACAGTCTTGTTAGTCCTCCCAAACAGATCTTTCCTGGATGTCATGGCTAAAGGCTAATGCTTTCCCAGGCCTATGGAAGAGTGCTGTCCTAGTTCAAGACATGGCATGCTGTTTGTGTGGTATTTGCTTCTCCTCTAGAGAAAAAGAGTCACTGTGGCATTTTTTTCTTACCCTTGTGTAATACAAATAAATATTTTTGGATGCAGGAAGCTAACCTTTCCCTAACCCTTGGGAGTTGGTGTCCAAACTTCCTTGGGTTTGCCAGAGTAATCAGAAAGGCAAACAAGCTGATGGATGAGCTTTATTCATTGACCTGTCTGCGTTCCTGCCTAGCTCTGCATTTTAACTGATTATGTATTTTGGGTCAGCAGATTTATACAGTTCACACTTCATTATCCAACAAGCATAGAATACTCAGAAGTGTTCTTAAGTAGTGCAGATTTTTCTGCAATTTCTGGGTTATTCCTGGATGGGTCATAAAGCTTTAAAATGCAGTGAAAGTTAATCAGCACAGATTTCTGCTAACAACTTAAGTAGTCATTTGCTTGTAAGTTAGCATGGAAAGAGAGGATAGCAACTAGTGGGTTTCCATCTTCTGTCATGGAAGTAGTCTGACTGACATTTTGGGGAGCAGTTGAGTGCTTTTGAAGGCACAGATCAGGACTAGATTAGTGACAGAAAGTTGACAAATACTTTTTTTGCCAACATAAGTCATTCCCTTTGCTTTGGGATAGACGTCTGATCACAGAGGAGTCTTCAGCTGTCAAATCCTCCCTAGACAAATGTGGTCTAGTCCTGAAAATGAGGTATGCACCCTCTAGCCTTCAAAGTGGCCATTCACCAAGTTTGGAAACACACATCTTCCATCTGGCCAAGGATATTTCATTGTGTTCTTCCTTCATATCAGCTTGTGGGAACTGTTACAAGCAAAATATGAAATATGAGCAGTGAATGCATCTTTTGCAATAAGCATAAATGGAAAATAAGGCAAAAATAAATGGTACAAATTACTTCCCCTTTATGTCTTCATTTCTTCATTATTCTTTGTTTTGCTTTTGGGGTTTGAAGTGTGTATAGTAAGTGGAATGCTTAATGTATTAGCTATTTTACTTTATTTTCACTGTTGACATTGTTGAAATCCTTTAAAAACAAAAAGTCCCATATGTTGAAGACAAATAGCAAAGTAATTCTTTGTGCTAGTTAAGAAACCATACCAGGAAAAAGAGTGACTGGATCATTCTCATAGAGCAGTGCTATTTGACATCAAGCAAGGAAGTGGTTAAATGCCAGGGGTGATGTCTTCATAACAATCAAACAAAACAAAAACTAAAAAAAAAAGATACTCACATAGCTTAGTAGCAGAGTGAAGAAAAAATGTAACCCTGAGGAGAGCCATTCTGGAAAGAAAGCCAACACGGGGGTGTGTGAGCCACTTACCCAAGTGTCTGCATTGGCTTCAGCTCCACAGAGCTGTAAGCATCTGGCATGGGGACATGGGACATGGTGCCTTCACACTTCCTCCAGACTGAGTACTTCTTTGGCTATTTTTCTCTTTACAGGAACCCAGACCTTTGTATAACAAAAGGTGCCAGTTTTATTCAAGTGGAATAGGATTCCTATATGATGCCTACCAAACAGAGGTAAACAAACTCACCTCATCGCATGTCATGTCTGCTGTGCTTTGAGGGGCTGGCAAGGAGGGAGGCAGGTGTTTGAGAGCATGTCTGTGCATGTAGGTCATGGGCTGATACAAACCCTACTGTTTTTTCTCCCATCAGTGACTCCCCACTTGTCCAAGCCTCTGATGACTGCAAGTCATTACAACCAGTGAGGTTTTGAGTCATCACCAGTGTCTCTATCCAGTATATTACTCTGGGACTGGAATGATTCCTAGTCCATCTATACTGTATAATAGCTGTCTGGAACGTATTTGTCACATTGGCATCTTTCTCAAAGGAGTTTTTTGTAAACTTCAAGTGGAATAGGAAATATCTAAATGAATCCATGTGCATTGTGCAGAAGACTTCAAATGGATGTATTTATCCATCACAGGCCAAGAACGTCAGCGGTTTGAATGCAGCTTTTTTATTATCTCAATGACATTAACATGGTTGGCCAAGTGCTCATACCCAAATGGCTAGCCTCCTGAGAAGTCCAGATTTAGGTTCTTTTCCTATTTTTCATGTTATTATTGTAGTAAATTGGTGGGAGTGAAAAGAAAATCAAGCACAGCAGGATTGAGAACAGCTAAACAGGGGTATAACTTACAAGAAACCACATATCCTTCATCAATATTCCTCCCATGGCTAAGAAAAAGTGTATGGGGAATGTTACCATTAAAAATTCTAGACATCTTATCAAAGTATATTACCAGGTTAAGCAGCTAATACTCCTTAAATCTTACTGCTAGGGCACCCCATCGTTGATTCCAGAAAATGTATGACAAAAATATTTTATTGACCTCCTTGCCTAATGACCTACCCAGACAGACTTATGATCTGTGACAAAACCCTTCTCTATAAGTTTTACTCCATCCTCTTCTGAATTGTGCATGCACGCTCAGACATAGACATGGTCTGAGAAATGCTTCTGGTTTTTGTAATAAGCACGTAGCTGGCGTCTCACTGACCACAACTCCCTGCAGGTGACCCCAGCTTCGGGCTTCTGGCCAGACAGGTTTCCCCAGTTCTGTAGATTCTGGGAATGTCTGAAGTTGGGCCACCCAATGCTCCTTGCTCTATTTTGACAAAACCCCCACATCTTTTAAAAGTGTAGTTAGTTTGTAATAGCAATCTTGTCTGGTTGTCCATTGATCTAGAGTCAGCATGTGCTAGTTCAGAGTTAATGATCTGTGGTATCTGAACTTGGCTTTTGCTTTTCCAAAGTTAGCCAGCTAGTGAGCAGGGGACATGCTTGGCATGCCAGGCAAACACCTAACTAGGAAGGCAAATTGTTTACTGAGAGCAAGTTTCCTTTTGATTGCCATCTCTAGCATGTAAGTGGTCTCCAGCTCATGTTGTTTGCCTGTTTTGGTTCTTCTCTTTGCTCAAAGCAGAAGGAATTTTATTTTCTTTCAATTACCATAAGGTGACAACATCTCTTCAATTGGTGCTGAGGGAGTAGACAGGCACAAACAGCCAGAACATGAAAAAGCTAAATGTCTGGTCACTGAAATGAAATAATAGATCTTGACATGCAGAATACCCACAAATGGCCTGTTTCCACCACCCTTGCTTACACCACACAGTAATTTGTTTATTTTGGTTTATTCACTGTTCTCCTAAAAAGGAGTGTCTTCTCTTTGCATGGTTCAAAAACACAGTGATAAAAATAGACAACTACAGTAACTCCTTTGGCCAATAATATAATATGTCATGTAGCCTAGAAGTAGCTAAAAACATGTTTAAGATCTTGCCAATCTCCCTCTTTTGTACTTCTACCCTTCTACACTAAAAGGGGCAAACTGGCCTTATCAATGCTTGGAGAGGGGAGAACTACTTTTATTTCCTATCAGAAATGGTCCCCAAAGCCATGCGTCAGAACAAACCACCTTTGTAGAAGCCCAGTCCATCTTACGGAGCCCTCCAATCCCAATCAAGCACATGTAATGGGAAAAGGGTATTTTATCTATGGTCCTAGGCCATTTTGACTACATACAGGGGATCAAAACTAGAGTCTTAAGTTCCACGTAGTGCAAAAGCACTAGGGCGTCCCAACAAAATGGCTGCGGTAGCAGATGCATTGGCACACCCTGTTCCAGGATTGGTTTTCAGACTGCTTTGAGAAGTAGCCAGGTGTGATGTTTCAGTCACTTCTGAGCTGGATCTTGATTAAGCCAACACAGTCGTCGATGATAGCATGCTCCTCTTCTGCAGTACATTGCAGCTCAGGCTGAGGACAGCTGCAGCTGAACGTGACTTCAGGCCAACAAAGCCCTTATGTGAAATTCCAGTAAGTTCTGACACAACAGAACAAGGTTCATGAAATGAGGTCCTATCTCTGGGTGAGATATTTTTGTGACAAATGGGATATGTCTGTATCAAGCTCCACTTCCAGATTGCAACCTAGGCTGAGACTGTCCTTTTATAACCGAACTTCCATTTCGGGTTAGAAGAGTTGATTTGTATGAGACACTACTCACAGGTACAGCCTTGTCCTGGGCAGCAAAGCAATCCCAAGGCATCATTTTAACTTCCTTTTAACTCTAGCTTTGTCACCCAACTTCCACTGCTCAAGCAAACCCTGTGAAGGACAAGTGCAGCAAGTCTGAGACCAGCCGCAAGATGAACTTTCTCTGGTGCTGGGTGTGTGTGTTTAAGGCTTTCCTTTCTGCTGGAAACAAACACGTGAGCAGTACAGACTCCTCAACAGTGGCAGTTTTCACCTGAAAAAAGATGCACAGGTCCAGAACTGAGGAGCTGAGAAACATCTGGTTTAACATCTCCTGTGGAGACTATCCCACAGACTAACACATTCATGGCTAAGCAACACTGTTTGACAGAAGCTTTTCAAAAGTGGACATGTATTCTTAAGCATGCTCCTTCTACTTTTTCAGTAGGAGGAATTTTCCATTCAACAATACATTTTAGTTGCATTTTGCAAACAAAATACCTCTCAGTGGTTATAGTACATTTTTTCTATCAAAATAAAAACTACAGAAGGAATGTATTTTCTGACCTGCTAGCTTTTAACACCTGACAGTTCTCCAGAATTTCAAAGTCAATAAGCTAAAAATCTCAGGGGAAAAAAGCCTTACATGCAAAATATTTCAATTGGACTGTAGTGCAAAATAGAAGTGATTAATGCTTACCATCAAGATTTCTTGTCTGGATGGAGAGTGGCTTACCTGTGCCTATCTTTATTGTTCTAACATCTGTCCATCCCTTCAATTCCCACTCGCATAAATAAACCTTTTCAGTTTTTATTCAAGAGCCTGCAGTAAATGGTACTTACTCACTGTAGTGCTTGGATCTTTTCTGAGTGTCTTTGTTTTGTGGGTTTGGAGATTGTTCTTGCTGTTGTTGTTCCTAATTATTTCCTTCTTCAGGAGGGTGTTAGTGAAAGGAGAGAGCTCCTGTTCATTGGAAGCTGTTCAGATAAATTGGCTTCTTTGCCCATTTCCCCATATAATGGAGTGGTATTCTTACCCACTTCAGTGGCTTGCTGTGATGTATCTCTCAGGACCCATGGTCCCTCCATCACAGCCGTAGGGATCCACATCTTGCAGCTGCAGACTTGCAGACTCTGGGTCTCAGCAAAATAGCACCAGGCAGTGCAGCACAGTGCTTGAAAACTCTGGCAGCCCTGGCTGTGGGTCGGTGCCGGGGGCTCTGGGCTGCATGCGGCAAATGCCCCGAGACTCAGGGGCTGATGTCCTGAGTGAAACTCCTGGGAGCTCAGGGATGTACTTCTGCCCTGCAGCCGTGGATTTTGGAATTTCGGGATCGTTCTGCACAACGGTAAATAAAACCTGATGCTGCGGTAGCTGCTTCTTTGGGGTCAGTAGGATGATTCACGCATTGCAGTGAAACACTGAGCATAAAAGTCAGTCTCTTCTTTTTTGGCAGGTGACATGTTATGCCTTAAACAGCAAGTGCCAGCTGAAAGTAAAGAGTAACACGTGCTATTGCTGTGACCTGTACAACTGTGAGAAGTAAGTACCTGTGTGCTGTCAATGGCCTCTCAGAAATCCTTGGTTGCTTGTCCCTCCTCTTAAATGAGGGGAGGGATTGCCCTTGGGCCTGGAGAAGCAACACAAGGGCCTTGTATGCTGTTCCAGCATAATCCAGTTCCTCTGTGACTGAAGTCCTGATGCCAGCAGAGAAGACGTCAGGGGTTGCGTATTAGCGTTGGCATTATTTCCGTTTCTTTTTCTTTAAATATGTCCATAAGCTCTTTGCTGTGTGATCAAAATCAACTACTCAGTCATAGCCCTGCCAAGATTTACTGTCGATCTTGCAATGCAATTTTCCCATTAGATTTAATTAATCCTTCTTTATCCTGCCAAGCTGGGGCAAACGAAATGAATAGGAACATAGGTGTCTGTGAGCAGAGATCATGTTGTAGGCATATGCAGAGCTCTCTTGTTAGCTACAGCCTCTGTAGGCACGGGATTTTGCTAAATTGCCATAGGATAGATACAGAGAGTCTTGTGAAGTGTTTTCTGAAGCTGTCCATTTGACTTCATCATTACCAAAGCATGAGATGTCAGAAGATAAAAGAGGAAATGTCTGGATATGCTTACAAAGATCAGCTGAAGATTAGTACAGGGTTGCCATGCAATAGGGATAAAACAGGTGGTTAGGAAAACTGCATCACAGCCAAGCCCAAAGGTTTGTAATGTGGAAGACAGATGAAATGAACTCACATAACCAGCTGGCCACCTGGCACATAGAGTTTTCAACTGCAAGCAGCGTCATGTCCTGCCGCATAAAAGAAACTGGGGAGAATTTCCCAGAGCAGACCTGCCTGACTCACCCTCTGCACCCCTCTATCATCCTACCACGCACCCTCATGCAAGCTCTGCAACCTTCTACAGTTCACCCACAGTCACTCTTCTTTCTTTCCCTCTATGTACTTCTCATCTTTCTTCCTTCCTATGTCTCCTGTTTTGTTTTGGTTTTGCCTCCTTTTCACACGCCAGCAGCCCTGAATAACCTCAGTCCTCTGTAAGCCTTGACAGACATGGACATTTTAGGTGCAGGGGACTGAGGCCAGCACAATAAGGCTTCTACACAAGGCTTCTGCATAAAAGAGTAGCTCTTGCCCAGATCAATTAGAGAAGCAAGATGAAATTTGGGACTAGAAGGAAGTCATCTATGCATGCATATTTCTCATGCACACGAGACACCAAGTGAGTGCAGGTCTATGGAATGGATTAAAATCCCCTATGAATGTTGAAGTCTTTTGCTTGTGTAAGAAGTGTTAAACCAACCACAATGGTGGTATGCAGAACAAATGACATGGGAAAGGTAGAGCATGCACAACTTTAGTACCTTTTCTATGATAGACAAATGAGGGGACATCGCAGTTGCAATGCAGTGTCTTTACACTGAGAATGCTTTCTTCTATGGTACACAACTGACTGCTGCACGTTAACACTGTATCGAACAGCTCAACCCAATACAGAAAAGAACAGGGGTCTTCTTAAAGGGGTGAAAGCATTCAGAGTTATCAAATAAAGTCACTGAAACTCTGTTGCTTAATGCATAAGGTAACAACAAGGAGAGATCAGGAATACTGTCCCTCCAGATGGAGATCCTAATTTTTCTAAGACATTGGGTTTCTCTGAAACACCCAGGACTGATCATTACTGTGACAGTACTCAATGACATAATTATAATACATGTGTGTTCTGCCATTGTCAGCAATCCACAGTGGACAGCAAAATCTTATGGCATTGGCATGGACAAGGACAAATCCAGAGTAAAGAAGCAATCTTGCTGCTCTACAGACTTGGCAATTCCAGTTTATGGGGTGGCTAGAGAGAAGTAGGAGGAGACAGAGTCACATGAAGTAACTTGGTGTCAGCCATGCAATAGGCTGGTACACAGGCAGGATCACAAGTCAGATTTCCTCAGCCTCATGGCAGCTGAAGCTATAGGTTTATTTAGTTAAGCAATGTCTGGGCTCATGATAGGGCCCAAGTGAACTCAACAGTAGTGGATCCGCAGTGCCAGAACCATGTCCCACAACAAATGATTGGACATTTCCAGGAATTACTGTGCTTGGCTTGGTTCTTCCCAGAAATATTGTGGATTTATCCATGCTGCTACCTTCATTTGCAGAGCTTTCCCTAACCACCACCTCCACTGATGCCCTATGTGCTGGGGATGGAAGAACAGAAAAGTGAGCACAAACTGCTCACTTCTGGTTTCCACCATAATCTGATGGCAATTTCCCAACAGTGCAAGACTTGGCATTTAAAAAATCTTTCCAACTCAAGTAGCTGCTCTAGGAGCTCATTAGTGGGCCAGAATTAAGGCAGGTACTGGAAGGAACTGCAGGAAACTGTGGTTTCAAATTTTGAAGTAGCTGACTTTCAGCAAGATAGTGAAGATTGGCTTCACAACATGCCTGATTTACAATAACCAGTGCAATGTGGAAATATGAACAAACAAAGGTTTCTGGATAGTATGATCCATAGCGTAAAGTCACATCTTTATACTGTACTGTGTTGCATCTGTTAATTTGGAACCTCAGGCACCATAAACAAATTTAGCCAGCTGGCAAAATCTCCCTTCCTGTGGTTGAATTAATGTTTAGGCAAGTTGTCTTCCACAGTTTCAGAGGTGCCAGCAGATTTCCAGGTAAGCTGAGAAAAAAAAAGCAATGCTTTAGCTTCAGCTAAATTTAGCTAATTTAAGGGCAGCATCCATATGCCAGGATTATGCCTGCATTCAGAGACCCTGAGCAAAAAAAAAACCTTGTTGCACAAGACTGATCAGCCAAACTAGGGTTGGTATTAGTTGGACTACATGTTTAATGCTGGCATTAGCAGAGCCAATTTTTGTCTACAGCAGAGCTTTCTCCAATTCATCTGAGCAGTGTTCGGTGGAGCATAGATGAAGTACTTTGCCAAAGGGGAAAGTAAGCAGGAGGGATTCAGATCCCCCGGTGCTCTGTATTATGTGCAAAACCATTCCCACCGCAGTGACATTGTCTGCCTTCCCTTTCAGTTCAGAGCAGTCCTCCAGCTACTATGAATTTCTCGGCGTGAGCAGCTGTCAGGACGTGGTTCACCTGTACAGGCTGCTGTGGTCCTCCACAGTCCTCAACATCATCGGGTTGTTTCTGGGGATTATTACAGCAGCCATTCTTGGGGCATTTAAAGACATGGTAAGGCTCACAGTCGTTGGGCTTATATGAGGACTTCTGTGCTTGTTGATGTTATCAAATGGGTTAAAACCAAGGAAGCATAAGTGTATGGAGGAGGCACTTTAAACATGTTTCCTGTGTGATCTGAGGGTCTGGAGACATAGGTCTTTAGGCTAAGCTGTTGCCAGCTGCTCACAGCTAAGTAGGTCAAGCCTGGACAAATACATGAACGGAAGGGAAAAAACAAGCATCTGTGTGAACAGATGCTGGCAATTCGCTTAGTGCCGTCTTTTTTTTTTCCTTCTAATTCAGCACTGAACATGTGGGCCAGCACAGAATTTGAGGATACTGGTTTGTAGCTAACACGTAAAACTCAAGTCCTAGATGCGACTGTTTAACCCTATGTAGTTCTTTTCCCAAGAATGGGGATTAACTCTGAAGTACCAGTCAAGTTTTTATTTAAACAGTTGCATTCAGGTCACATTAACCTCCTCTTTTGTTTCAGTAAGGAATGCCACCCTCTGACTGCTCCCTGTGCCGCACCGCCATGTTGTGCTGATGTGCACCGCTGCATTCAGAAGAGGCTGTGGGCTAGGAAGGAGTCTGTAATACAGCACCTCATCTGCCTAGATTTTCTGACATGCTAAAAGGGTGAAGTAGCTGTTCCTGGGATTCTCACTGTCAGCAGTCATGTTTGCTAAAGTGGTGCCTAAAGACCAACCAAGTGGCTCATGATTTACTGGAAGAGTAAATCTACTCAGAAGAGTAGATGGTCCCAGCCCAAAGAGCTTCCAAACTAAATGGCAGTGGTGTGGTGATGGAGGTGAAATGCAGGAGCTGAAGGGAGGTGTGATAGCAACACAGGTCATCTTAGATCCATGATGTTTCTGGTGACTATTCCAGAGGAAAAAACTAAATACAAAGACAGGTAAAATGAAAGAAGAGAGGGATGGAGCAGGGAAGAGAAAGCGACAGAGACGGGTGAGATGCACACCAGGCGGGGCAAACTAGGAGGAAGGGGCTGCTCAGAGCTGGCAGCCAGTAAGTCAAGGACCCCGGCAGACTGGAGGCCGTCCAGGCCCTGCTCTGACCACCCAGCGTCCCTTGGTGGCATGTCTAGGCTATCTACAACATGTGTTGGCTGCTTAAAACCATGTGACAGAGCAGGGCCATATGAATTATGTGAAATTCACCTTTGTTAGGAGTTGCCAAATGTTTCCTGGAAATATTCCTCTCTCTAGCTTAAGGCAAACAAGCTCACTGAGCCTTCGCATCTACGAAACGTGCAGCTGAGCTCTCCTTTCTGTGAGGGGACCCGTGCAAGGAGTTGATAACAACTTGCAGCCAGCCAGCAAAGAGTTGCGGCTGCCCGAGGGGAGGGAGTGGGAGCAGCTTTCCCAGCTTAATTCATCCCCTCCCTGTGAGAGGAGCAATGGCGGAAGGGGAGCAGGAACAACCACAATGCGAAGCGAGAGGAAGAGCAGCTCCATGAGGAGGGGAAGGCAGGCATCATCTACAGTAAGTCCTTGGCAGAGCGCTGCGGCTTTACAGTGCTGCTATGTATGTTCTCCTGCCGAGCAGATGGGGGCAAGTGCCTCCACCAAGGGCACCGGTGGGAGTCCCTAGTGCTCCCCCAAGATGGGGAAGGGTGCGGAGAGACAGCCTGAACCCACCTAATCCGTCTCACACAAACCGAGGCTTACATGGGATTTGGGCTGACGCCTCGCAGCGGGGTGAGCTCCCGTCCAGGCACGCTCTGTGCCGCGCGGGCGCCATTGCTGCGCTGCTGGCGAGGGATGCCGGGCCGCGGGGACATTCCTGGGGAAACTGGGGTCTCCATGACCTGGCCTGTTCCCTTGCTGGGAGACAGAGCTTGGGTCCAAGGTCTGGGCGCTCTGGGTGGCGTAAAGTCATGCAAGGAAACCGCAGCAGCCGTGGACGTGCAGCTTCCCCCCAGGCTTGGCTGGAGGGAGTCTGTCGGGGCTCCAGCTAAAAACCTGATCTGAATAAGCTGTTTAATGTCTCCTCTGCAGCGGGAGGGGAAAAAACCCCCTCACAAGCTTAAGGGAAAGAAGAGTTTGTGTCAGTTACCTCAGCACAGGAGCCATGCTTGTGGAAGTGTTACTAAAGCACAATGCAAAGTGCAACGGCCGCACCTTGCTCCTGCCTGTGCTTTTTCAGGGTCCTTTTGAGTGGTGTCCCAGAGCTGGTTTGCTAATCTGCTGCTCGCTTTCGTTTCGAAAGGAGTAACTCTTGGGGAAGATGCAGGCCAAGAAAACATCAAGCAAAAGAGGGAGAGAAAAGGGCATGAGACTGAAATAAGAAAAAAACCCTTCAAAATGTGTGGGAGAACAATTTTCTTTCTTTCAGGATGTCACCTTCCCACAAAAATGCTCACTGGCATTTTGCAAGGAGAGCTGCAAAGCCCGCTAAAATGCCTCAGGGCATTGCTCTGAGGTTGACTTCCAGAAAACACAGGGCCAGGCTGACTAGTCAAACAAAAACCGTCTTGTTTATCTCTGGGGAACGCTGGCAGCCAAAACATGTTACAGAGGGGGAGAGTTTACAAAACGGTGCTGTTGCCTCTAAACCCATCACGTTTCCTGGCCAGAAAAAGAAGGAAGTGGTGTTTTGGTTGTTGCGGGTTTTCCTGCTTGTGACCAATTCCCCGCAGCCCCTGGCACGCTCCCCGTGGTTTGGCTGCCTGCCGGAGGGCCGCGCCGGCTCGGTGGGAAACCTTTCATCCTCTCCTGACCCCCAAGGTGTCAGCTCTCGGTGGGGCCGCTGTCACCCGTGGGGCCATCCCCTGTGAGCTGCTGGCTGCTGCCGTTACCTCCTTGTCAGGCCTGCTGTGTGCCTGGCTACAGGATGCCGGCTAGGCAGTTACCTTAAAGTCACCTTTAACAAAAAGCAGATTAAGATATAATGTAAATAGAAGTATGTACTTGGAGTACCCAAAACGGCGAAACGACATGATTATTTCTTACAGAAGACAGAGATAAAGAAATGCCTGGAAAACTTCACTTGCTGGTACTAAGAGTTAGTCTAGAAACTCCCTTCCCCACCGCGGTGTTCATCTGATGACTTGTAGATGTTTTCCTGACACACCTTGCCAAGGAATCTGCTTGCTGGGAGTTTAGGGCTGCATTAATCAGAATGACTGCTGGTCGGATGGTGGGGGGCGGTTGCTGGCCTCTTTAATTTTTTTAATTAGTCTCCTTCTTGGAGTCCTCAAGGGAATCTGAGCAGATTAAATATCAGTCCCTCATCCCCTCTCCTCTTCCCTTACCCTGCTCTAAAAAGGAAAACAAAATGAACCCCTAATTAGTGAGTTACTTGCCATGCGTTCATATCTTAGCACTTGTGCAACTAAAGGTGCCGTCTGACATTAAAAGTAAAAAAAAAAGGCCAGAAATAAACCCTTTGGCAGGGCTCTTGTGGGCCCTGCAAGCTGACCTGCCTTGCTCTGCAACCGCACAGCCCAGCACGCTGCTTGCGTGGCCAGCAGCCAGACAGCCCCTCCGGCCACAGCCTGGTTTCCCCATGCTCCCTGACCCGAGGTGCCCACGTGGCCCTGGCAGCTCTCCCTGGCCAGTTCACAGCTCCTTATCTCTTTAACTTGGGTGGTGTTTCAGTTTAAAATGTCTCCACCTACCCTTGGATTTTTATGTGACATCTAACATAGTGTCATTACTGGAATACTTGATAAAAGCTTCAATACCTGCAAATTAGTGGTCAAGCATTGGAACAGGCTGCCCAGGGAGGTGGTGGAGTCACCATCTCTGGAAGCGTTCAAAAAACGCGTTGGCGTGGCACTTCAGGACATGGTTTAGTGGGCATGGTGGTGTTGGGTTGACAGTTGGACTTGATGATCTTAGAGGTCTTTTCCAACCTTAATGATTCTGTGATTCTGTGAAATCCTTGCTGGCTCCAGGCTGAGACCAGATAGCCTGATAATAAGGTGCTTTGATAAGTGGATTTGGGGATGGATGACTCCCCAAACCTGTCTTCTGGGACTGTTGTGATGCTCATCCTTAGCAATTGGAGAGCACTGCTGTCATGGGTGGAGCAAACATAAGAGGACTGAGAGAGATTCCTGGGAGAAGGACAGAAGTGGCACCCAAAGAAACCCACACCAGAAAGTTGGTGACCGATGAAGAACAGGCATCTGTGTTTCACACTGTGCAAAACACGTGTTTCTTGCCACGTTTACATCCACAGCCAGAAGGACCTAATTGCGCCAGGGCCTCCCTCCGAGGAGGAGGGGCACGCTCTGCGCAGGTTCAGCGCCGGCTGGGGTGAGCTGTGTCACTGGCCCCTAAACCTTTGGGTCTGAGAGAAGCCTGCTAGCTGCTCCTCACTACCCCTGTCTGAAAGGCAGAGTCTCTCCATTTCTCCCCGCCATAGCCCCCCAGCAGGGCGGGTAGAAAGGAGATGTTTTGAGGAGAGTACCTTGAAGATGGGAGACTTGCCTTCTCCCATGAAACAGGATCTCTGCTTTCGACCCTAGCCTTTCTCCACGCCAGCTCCTGGGGTGCTAAGTGTCTCCAGAGCACCAAGGCCTGAATTGTCAGTTAACCTCACGTGGTACATCAGTTTTCCGTGTACAAACATGATTAATACACCTTTTCTCAGCCACAGAGAGATCTCTCACTATCTCCAGAGGATGCAGTGGTTTATGTGTCTCACTGATAAATCTGAAAGGAAATGCCTCCTCCCCTCCCCCC